AGGACCCTCACCAGAAGGAAGGAGAGAGAGAGAGAGAGAGAGGGAGAGAGAGGGGGGAGAGAGAGGGGGGAGAGAGAGAGGGAGAGAGAGAGAGAGAGAGAGAGAGAGAGAGAGAGAGAGAGAGAGAGAGAGAGAGAGAGAGAGAGAGAGAGAGAGAGAGAGAGAGAGAGAGAGAGAGAGAGAGAGAGAGAGAGAGAGAGAGCTATAGTGTAGGTATGCTTCTCATTACCTCAATTGAAAGATGTTCATAGACAAACGAGCACTCACCTGCCACTGTCACTCCACAGTCTACTGCCAGATAATGCTCAGGGGACACACAAACATGAGAAACACCATGGATGAGATCTAAATTCTCGGTGTAGATCGAAACAGGGAAGTCCAAACTTCCATCCGTCTATCAAAAGACCAAGACACAAAATTACAAATCTAATTTAGTTCAATACAATACATAACAGAACTTAGTGTAACAAAAACTGAAAGTAACAAACAAGTGAAATAATTTGCATGTAAAAATTGCATATTGTTTCCTCAAGAACATCATTCTTCCTAAACAATAGGGGCCAGCAGAACAGGAAACAGGTGCAGGAACCAAAAATGCTAGTAGACACATAAGAAGACTTTTCTGTTGATAATTTACTGCAGTGCTCTGAAAACAGGAATACAGACATTCGGTATAGGCTCAATCTTACTATAGTAGTCTCCACCTAAATGCACGGTGCTCCGGAAGGCCCCTAAGCGCGTGTTTATACGGAGAGTGCGTTTACATGAACCTGTGCAAAGGGATGAAGATGCATTCCTCTCATTTCCTTGATATTTTAGTGACCTCCCTTGGGGCTGATGGGTCATTAAGGCCAATTATGTGACGACACGTGACTGCTTTGTGAAGGATTCCCAGACTGCGATTATGAATTACGAATACAAAGGGATTGAATGGGTTGGGGGGGGGGGGAGTGCAGAAAACGGACTCGCTGTACTGATATTCACTACAAAATGCCAGGAACAGATAAGAAGAAACTGTTCGTGTTAGATCTAGTCATAGCAAAAAGCTCTCAGCCAAGCGGCTTTCCACTTCCAAACAACCAATCCCGACTGCCCATTATCTATTGCAGCTAGGTAAATGCACGGATGACATCAGACTTTTCACTTGTGATTCGTTAAACATAAGTTCTTCGAGTGCAGTGTTTTAGAGCATTCAGGTATGTTGCGCATCATAGGTCCAACTAAACATTACGTATGCTGTAACTCAAACACCATTCAGAAACATTCTCTCAAAGACGCATTTCGAGTGACCAATTAGAAGACAATTCCCCTCTTCAGCATATCACCCGACCAGTCCTAGACCTACTATGTGTCCGTGGAAAGTTGGGCATGAAAACTCTGCCCATCGCTCTCTTCATTTTGCGTGAAGGTCAGTCTCGTCTAGGCTTGTCTTATGCAAGCTGTGAAGGCTGAAGTGAAAAATTTCCCCTTGTCAACCTTTGCCTGTCGGCATGTTTCACGGATTGAAGCGTGCATTTAGAAGAAGTGATTGTGCGTTTTTATGTCTAAATTAAACAGTAAAAAACTTGTCATATGATTCTTCCTCATTCTCGATATGTCATATGATGAAAGCATGCGTTTGAGCAGAGCGTGCCTTTGTATGGCGTGCATTTAGGCGGAGACCACAGTATCCATTTACCAGTTCAATGCCAAAGTCAATTCGATGTCCTGTGCAGTCAGAGATCCAGTTCTTCTGCACGGAAATGATGTCACGCCACAAGGTGGGGTCCACCTCATCAAGACCTTCTAGGAGAGACTGAAGGAAGCAAAATATAAGTTCTTGCTTAAATCTTGGGAAACAGGTACCAAAATCGTCATTTGCATTATCATCATCATCATCATTGCCTTTCTCACTCTGCATCAAGGTAAAGGCCAGGAACAAACACCTTCCACATTTCCTTACTTCCCTATCCTGAGCTAGCCTCTTGATATTTTTCCATGCTTTCCCACTTTTCTGTTTATAGTTCTCTGATGTAATTGGAGATATACAAAGTAAAGATATACAAGTCTCGATAAATATGTTGTTTGTTTATTGAACACACAATTATACAACCAGATGAAAAAGAAATCACATCCACTTTTTCACAAAAAGAAGTTTGTAACAACAGCTAATGATCACCGGAGTTGCCATTTGAAATACTACAAAAGAATGCATTTTCAAAACATGGCGACAAAGTCAAAGAAAAGAATCTCACTTCATTCACCATGTATTTACATTTCCCTGGAACTGACAGAAAAAAAGTAAACTGGCACCAACATGAACAATAGTTTTAAAACAAATGGTCCAATGATACGATTGCCCTTTCCTCTCCAGCATGCATTAACATGTAAATCAGCCTCATGGCTGCAAGTAGAGACAAATCTGTCCAAGATGACAACCCCTTGTAAAAGAGAAAAGTGGTCATCTTAAACAGGTAGTCTTGACGGACAGTGTCATTATGACAGAAAAAACCAGAGGGAGGGTGGCTGTGAGAGCAAATTTGACTGTACGTCTCGCCGCAGGCCAACGTAAAGACTTCCTACATACAAATAAAACCATGAGCTGCATTTGATTCCCCTGTTCACAAGTAACATGTTGGAACTAGGAACATTTACAATGTAGCATCCCACAGCACGGTGCACAAGACAGAAAATGGCATCAACACCAGATGCAGGAGACGGATTAAAGAACACAAACCAGGGCATGCTGTGAACCCACCTGTGAAAACACAGTGTCGCGCAGATACCACTGAGTCAGATATTTCTTCTCCACCTTGGCCCCTGAACGCCAGGAGCAGCCCTGTTCGTCAATTTGCTCATCTGCCAGTACTGTCATGTCCACTGGGTCCCAATTCACCAGACCCTTATCCATTGGAGGAGAAAAAAGGGAGGAGATGGGATAGGTTAAAATGTGCTTATTGATCCCCTATAAAAAGAACTTGATAAATAAGCTGTTAAGTTACCTTACATTTAAATGAAAATTGATACTGTTAAAGAAACACACACACACACACACACACACACACACACACACACACACACACACACA